CCATCCATCCATCCAACCAACAATTCAGTCATCTATTCATCCATCCATCCATCCAACCATACAGTCATTCATTTTCTTCTTTTTCAGGTTACTGGTGCTCATGTCCAACAGTCACGTTGCAAGAGGCTGGATTATTGTAAAGAAAATGTATATATATATATATATATATACAATTTTTGTCATTTTTTTAAAACTATAACAAGATGCAGGCATATGTGATTATTTTTTGTGTGTGAAGAAATTGAGTATCCAACTTTGAAGAAATAAAGTTAAAGAGAGCCTAATTTATTCTGTGTATTAGCACTAGTATCAACATATTTGCAAAGGAAATGACAGGAAAACTGCTAAAACTATTCATTTTTTCTGTGGATATAACACCCTATGAAATTCAGTTTTGTGTTAGTTTTGTTCAAAGAGTGAAGGAGCTGCTGCAGAGGGACCAACATGTGGCTCCAGAGCCGCAGGTTGCAGACCCCTGAACATGACGAATTAACTCAATTTATATCAATATTTAACATTCTTTATGGTCTGTTTCACAAAAACTAAACTTTATTTAATTCACTGGGACTCTCTAAAGAAGATGGAGATGTTGCATACAAGTTTAAGAAGACTCAAAGGAAAATAAAAATGCAAACAGCTTCAAAATGTGAGAAGTTTGTACTAAAAGTTTCCACCTCAGTCCTCCTGGAAGAGATGTTTAAAAACCTACCGCACGATGGCGCTGTTCTTCAACTCTTTACGTTCATTCAACCTTTATTTGTATGTATGTTTTATTTATTCATTTCATTTCATCCAAACAACAAATATAATACAATTTAAAGAAAAGAAAAAAGATATACAATCACCGAAATAAAATGAAAGGCAGCAGAAGAAGAATGAATTCTTATAATATCTGCCCCTTGTCCCCAAAATATATTCCAAACAAAATTACTATACAAAATATTTCTACAGTTAATGTTTGTTTTCCACTCTTCTTCTCTCTTCACTCCCTTCTGGTCATAAAAAACGTTTTTTGTGTGTTTTTCCGTCAGAAAACTCAACTTTCAGACTTCCAGCTGCTTCTGCTGCTCTCATTTGTGTGACAGCGCCCCCTGCTGGTCGGAACTGGTGTCACAAAGCACCTGTGTTGCCAGATATATAAAAGATGTCGCGTTCTTACGAGCTGTCTAACACACAAAAATAGTTTTTAAGTTTACAACAGTTTTGGCAGTTTGGATAAATTTACATTCTCTTAAGATGAGCGAGGAGGGGAAGCGTTACTCCGCACGTTTGGGTTGAAATACGATCATTTTAAATCGGCTGTGCTATTATTTCGTTCTGGATTATTTGGTAACCCGATCCTTCTGGTCTCTTCCAAACAGTTTAGATAAATCGTGACGTGTGACAGGTTAAAGGTAAGATCAAGAGTTCATTTCAAGTAAAGGGCCTCAGTTTGTCTTATGTTACAGTTCACTTATTGGAATTCATCAAATCACTTGTCACGTTTGCAAGTTTCCCCCACAAATAACATAAAGAGCAACTGATGAAGAGGGAAAAACATTTAAATTATAACTTTCTCCATAATTACGTATTTTACAGCACATTCCTTAATGCTACGAGCTTTACACCATTTGAGTAAAAAAAAAAACAGGTGCACAACCCCCTGCATCATCCATACCATTAGTGACGTCACATTTCTGCTTCGTGGGTGAATTAATATAATTGCACAGTCTTCACAAACTTTGTTCTCAAACCTTTACAGTGTTTACACATAGTTTATAATATATATAATAAGTACCAGAGCAAATGAAGTTCAGAGTGTAAAATGGCCTTTTTTAATGAGATCTAATTTGATTGTTTTAGTCTAGGTATACGTAAATGAAGTCAAAATCATTTTTGTATGACACTAAATATACATCTATATAGTAATACATACATAAAATGTATTATTTGGATATTCAAACATGTGACAAATAAAACATGTAAACCCAGTGTTAGAGCCACTGGTTGACCAAGATGGCGGCGCGTGAACAAGAGGCTCAGCGTCTCTGCAGAACATGCTATTTAGAGTTTTCTACCTACTTTTGACCGGACTAGTCGTCCAGAATTGCTCAGCGTTGCTGTTCAGCAGACAGGAGCTTCTGGACATCTGGACTCAAACCTCCGATAGTTTTGTTGCCGATCTCCGACTCATCCCAGAGATCTCCAGAACTCCGGAGGCTGCTCACTCCTCCAGGAAGCACACGCAGACGGCTCGAGAACGTAAACCAAGGCGGGGTAAGCGCGGAGGACTACGGGCTAAGCTAAAACTTACGCCACACCGGCTGCCCTTACCCAGCATTTTCCTCGCCAATGTCCGTTCTCTGACAAACAAAATGGATGAAAGACGTCTCTCCATCACCAACAACAGGCGGATTATGAACTCAAACGTCATGATTTTCACTGAAACATGGTGAAACAACAGCTGCCCGGACAATTCTATCGAGTTAGCAGGACGCCACACACACCGAGCCGACAGGATAACTGAGGACTCGGCAAGACCAGAGGTGGAGGTTTGTGCATTTATATGAACAAAGCTTGGTGCACAGACTCTGCTGCTACCGAGAGACAATGCTCCCCTAATGTGGAGCTTATAATGGTCAGATGAAGACCTTCTTACCTCCCCAGAGAACTCACTTCCATCATACTCACTGCACTGGATATCCCCCCGGATGCTAATGCTAAGCTGCCTATGAAAGAACTTTATGCAGCCAAACACCCTGAGGCTGTTTTTATTGTTGCTGGTGACTTTAACCACTCCAACTTGAAGACAGTCCTCCCCAGATTCCACCAACATGTCTCCTGCCACACCAGAGGGGACAGACACTGTGCTCCAGGACCGGTTCAAAAACACTGATTGGAAGATGTTCACTCACAGACTTGGAACAGTACGCCTCATCGGTGCTGGACCACATCTCCACCACTGTAGACAGTGTCACCACCCAGAAACGGATCACCATGGACCCCAACCAGAAGCCTCGGGTGAATCGGGATGTGCGTGTCCTGCTGACGGCTCTCAACATCGCCTTCAGGTCAGGGGATGCACAGGCCTACAGTACAGCCAGGGCTGAGCTGAAGAGTGTGTTACCTGTTGTTCTGTCTGTACAGCACTTTGGTTGGCCTTGTTTTAAGTGCTCTATAAATAAAATGGTATGATATGGAGCTGAAGAGAGGCTTAAAAAAGGCCAAACACCACTTGAAGGGGAGGATGGAAGAACACTTCTCAAACTCCAACCCCCGACGTATGTGGCAAGGACTCCAGATCATTACAGACTACAGGACCATCAACCCCTCCCCCGTCTCCTCTGATGTTTCCTTCCTCAATGAGCTCAACAGTTTCTATGCTCGTTTTGAGAGAGGGAACCCAACAACTGCAACTAAGGCAGATGTGTCTCCAGACCACCAACCACTGACTCTTTTCCCCACGGATGTAGGAGCGGCGCTGAGCAGGATTAAAGTTCACAAGGCTGCGGGTCCTGAAGGCATCCCTGGACGTGTTCTTAGAGCGTGTTCTGGGGAGCTGGCAGGAGTACTGACGGACATATTCAACCTGTCCTTGGCCCGTGCTGTGGTACCGACTTGCTTCAAAACCACCTCCATCGTCCCGATACCCAAAAACTCAAAACCATCAAGACTCAACGACTACCGTCCGGTAGTCCTCTCCTCCATCATCACAGTGTTTTGAGCAGCTGGTCCTCACTAGGGGTTGAACGACTACATCATTTTAAAACTCGACATCAACATAATAAAACTCGAGTAGAACTCGAGTAGTTGATGACATCATAGGATCTCAAGATGAAAAAATAAATACAAAATAAAAGAAAAAAAACGTCATTTATTATT